AAGAGGCTGCCCGGGGTGAGAGGTGGGCAGGGGGCAGTGCTGATTCCCAGGGGATGCCGTCATTTAAAGGATGCTGTTACCAGCGGGATGTGGGTACCTGGAGGATGCTAGTACCGAGGGAGGATGATGCCTTACGAGCGCTGGTACTGAAGGGAGGGTGTCTTCTCCCACAGGACTTTCTACCTGCTGCTCACTGCCCAGTTCATCTGCTGAGCTCACCATAGGCAAGTTCATCCCTGGGGAGAAGCTCCCTGAGGCTTATGGGGTCCCTTCCCACCAACAAGCCCCGCCGTGGAGGTCTCTTCCCCCCTCGGCTCGGCTGCAGCATCAGATGCACAGATAAAAGGCCACCTGCTCCATCTCCTGTCTCATATCCAGCAGGGCTGGGTGAGCTTTATGAGTCCTGGATTACCCCCGTTACTGTGATATTCAGCGGCTCCTCTCTAAGATCCAGCTCCTAGAGGCAGGTATTAATACATACTGTTCACTTAGATTTAAAAAAAAATGAAGAATGAAAGAGCACTCACTTCTTAATCCTTCCTTTGGCAAAAGCCCTTAGATATGCAACTTGTACCAGCTCACAGATGGGGAAAGCAGAAGAGCTCCAGATCTTGTTATTTAAAAACCCGGGGGTGATTAAGCTGCTCTGATGATCTGGGGACTCTGAGTCATCGGTTTTATTTTAACGCCCGGATTGGGGTGAGATGGGAATTTGCCTCTGCTGTGATTTGCAGCAGCAAATCCCCATGCTCTGCGCGGAAGCCGGCAGCGAGCTCCCAGGCTGCACCCATCTCAGCACCCGCATCTACCCGCATCCTTGTGCCCATCCGGGTGGGATGCACAGGGAGCAAGTGGAGAAAAAGGGAAGGGGAGGTGCAGGTTCTCTGCAGCTCTCTGTCCAGGTGCAGTTAATCTGGAGCCTAATTAAACTGTCCTGGACAAGCCATCATCATTAAGCGTTTGTTTGTAGGGTTCCAGAGCCCAACATCTCCTTGCTTTTCCAGGGTACCTCAGATGTAAGTGGCATTTGAGGGAAGTAATAATGCCACGTCACCTCCTGCCCTCCGCTTCCCTCCGGCAGTGAGAGAGGCTTTGCAGGAGCACGGAGGAGATGCCGGGCCAGCCCCGAGCTCGTGCAGCGGCCGAGGCGTTGCCAGCAGCCATGCCGAGCTGCCTGGGTGCACGATGACGCTCTCCCTCGCAGCCGCAGCCAGAGCTGCCCAGGTTTCCATTTGCCTCTTCCTGTGCCTGTCCTGGGGCAGCTGCTGCCCCCCGAGCTGCCAGTGCACGGAGCGGGCAGGGGCAAAGGCCGTTCTCTGCAGTGCCCGGCACTTGGAGGAGATCCCCAAGGACATCCCCCAGGATGCGGTGTTCCTCAAGCTGGACACCAACAGCATCACCAGGATCCCCAGCAACGCCTTCAGGCACCTGTCCCACCTGGAGGAGCTCGACCTCTCCAGGAACGCCATTGAGAAGATCGACGGGGCAGCTTTCAAAGGGGTGGCTGCCGGCCTGCGCACCCTCGACCTCTCCAGCAATCGCATCCGCAGCATCCCTAAAGAGGCTTTGCTGATGCTCAACGCCAAGCTCCGGCTGGCCAACAACCCCTGGCACTGCGAGTGCGCCCTGCAGGAGGTCCTGTGGGAGGCACAGCTGGACCCCGACTCCGTCCAGGACATCACCTGCCACACGGCCCCGCGGGAGGAGTATGTGGGGAAGCCGCTGCTCCAGGTCCTGGATGCTGGTGTCAACTTCTGCAGCGTGCGCCAGAGGACCACGGACGTGGCCATGTTCATCACTATGTTTGGTTGGTTTGCCATGGTCATCACCTACGTGGTCTGCTATGTCCGGCACAATCGAGAGGACGCCCGCAAGCATGTGGAGTACCTGAAATCGTTACCAAGCACCCAGAACCCTGCAGAGACCATCAGCACTGTCCTGTAGCACAAGGTTGGGGCGCTTTGCTCCCAGCACCTCTGCAGAGAGCCTGCAAAGCAGTGACCACCCCAGCAGGGATGGAGGCCTGGAGCCAACTCCAGCAGTCCCAGAGCAAGCGTGGGAGAGCGGCGTGATGGGGAAGGCAGAGGATGCCGCTGATGCAGACCTGCCTATGGGGCACAGGGGCCTGGGCAGAACATCTCCCCGGTGCAGAGCACCCTTCTCCCCCACAGGAGACCCACTGCCAGCCAGGCTAGCAGGGAAAACACCCCAGCCACACCACTTGTGGGGAACATGGTTTGGAGACAACAGGTCCATGGGGACACAGACGGTGTTCACTTTGCCTATCAAAGGAAAGCTCTGTTCCCTAAAGCCTGCGGTGGAGAGGGACAGGCTGGTCCTTGCAGCAGGATCATCCCATCATGGCTCCAACAAGAGATCGGCCTTGAAGAGAGCAGGGCATCGTCCCCAGCACCTACAGCATCTTGATAGCTCCCAGCAGCATCCAGATGTTCTCCTAAACTTATGTTTTCTCAATAAAGCCCTGTACCTGGGAAAAGTCCCTGGGGTTTCCTTACACGGGGAGCTGGGCATGTGGGAGACAGCGTGCAGATAGGGAGCTGCGGACTCTGAACCTTCTCCGATTTCCCAGGCAAGATTTCCTGGGCTCATCCTGCTTCCAGAGGTGAGTCCCCGCTCACAGGCTTGCTCCAGGCATGGTCCTCAAGCTTTTGCATCCACCTACACCCCATTTGGAAAGAAAAACCAGGGGTCCTGCCCCACAGGTGGGGAGGGAGGGTGATGGTGCTCTTGTCTGAAGCCCTGAATTTAATGTACCAGCTCAGCTCCCATTAGATTAAATCCTCTCTGCCCGCATTTCGAGCAGGGGCCAGCGGGCTTGTCTGCAGACAAAATCATGTTTCCACATCTCACTGAGTAAGCACAGGGACATCTCACCCTGTCTCACCCGCCTTCCATCTTGAGGCTGAATTACAGATGCTGCTCAGAGCAGTGCGACCAAATTGAATTCTGCCTCCCTCAGAGGCAGGAGGAAATGAGCCTTCCCAGCAGAGCGAGCCTTATCTGCCCCCAGCCTGCGCCCTGTGCTGCCAGGAAGAGCTGATGGAGCGACCTGCGGCGCCGGGGAAATGGGCTCGCTTTGGCCTGCATCCCAAGGCGGATCAGGCAGTGCGCTCTTCCCTGGGGATTTGCACCTCTTGTGGTCTTTCCGCAGCTGTCTGGGGTCCAGGTTGTGATCTTCAGGCCTGAGTAAGAAGCCCAGAGGCTGGGGAATAGCTGAGCAAGGCTATGGATCAGTTGGGAGAGGCAGGAAAAGCCACCTTGGGTCGAGGAAGAGGGTCTCCTTCACCCCCAACACCCTGATGTGCTCAGGACTGCTTCAGCCTCATAGGCAAATGGTGGCCCTGTTCAGAGCCATCAGTGGGCAGCTCTAGAGTTGGTCTCTGGGGACTGCTGGTGCTGGAGGGGGCACAGACCCACATGGGGTTGTACAAGCCAGCCAGGTACAAAATCCCCCCCTGCTATGTGTGCTATAATCCTCAGCGATGGAGGTTACTGTCTGAGCCCAGGTCAAGGCTAAGGCCAACCTTAGGCTGGGTTTGGGGGCACTGGTGCATTATCTGTTCCCACCTTTTCTCTGGTCCTAGCCCCTGCCAAGCCCTGCCAGAGCTCAGAGGAGGCTAAGATGCACAGAGATTCCCCAAAAGGGCTGCATGGATTGAGGGAAAAGTCTACCCTGTGGGCAGAGCCGCTCTGCAGCCTGTCTGTGGGATGCAGGCTGGTTTATTGTGCTCATGGTTTATTAGAGCTCCAGTTAAGTAGAGGTCCCCTCCCTTCTCCACCACAGAGATAAGTGAGGCAAAGAGGCTACATTGTCATCTGGAGCAGTTTTTGGTCTTTCCCATCCCAGCAGTGGACATGTCCACCGTAATTCATGGCAGATTTGCCTGGAGGTCACTCATCCCGTGGTGGACACCAGTATGATATCAAAGTGAGCCTGTAAAACCCTTCAAGCTGAGTGCAAATGTCATTGCTCCAGAAGATCCCCTGCCCCACCACCTGCATGATGCCAACTGCGATAAACTCCCTTTGCCAAATCTGCCTGTAAAATATATCTATGGAGTTGTACAATACACACAAATTGCTCAGCGAGGGCAACTGCAATCAGCCATGGTGGAGCAGGCAGGTCTGCAAGCACCGTGCAGCAGCAGGGCACCGGAATGAGGTCTGGTGTAGTGCAAAGATGCTGGCACAGTCATCAGCCAGCATGGATGGCTGGAGACACAGGGTGTCTCCGGATGGGCACCCCGCAGGGACAGTCCGAGCACAGACACAAAGTGTGATGGGTCAGCCTGGTCCTTGATAACATCATAACCCCAACCACTGTGAAGGCTGAGCCTGAAGGCACTTTTTCCCTCCCACCCCAATCTCTGATATGCAAATTCCTCCCCACCACCACACGGTCATCCCAATAGCGTGTGCTCTGCTTGGCCTTTCCCAAGGCTCTTGCAGGGCCTACAGCAGCTCTGAGATCTCCTAGCTGGAGAATGCCCCATGCTGGGGTCTTGGATGAGCCCCTCATGCCGCATAACTGGGGAAACAGTTTGGATCCAGGCACCTTACGGAGGCCCTGGTCCATGTGGCATGGCTCTGGGGCACGTCAGGAGAGTTTACTCAGGAGAGACAGCCCAAAAGCAGGATCAGGGCCCTGATCAGGGCTGCAGGGAGCTCCCCTCCTCCTCTTCATCCTGCAGAGCACCCAGCCAAGCAGCCCTGGGGCCGACGCCGAGGTCACTGTTGCTGGTGTCCTGAGGCACCATGGTCCATCCACCGCAGGCAGGAGGTTCTCCTGCTTGCTCTGGTCTTGGTGGTGAGCTGAGCTCATCCCGGACACCTCAGGTGGTTTTCAGCTTGAGCACCTTGGAAAGCGGCTCCTTGGCACTGGAGTAGAGGAGGTAGGAGCCCTCGGTAGTGTTAAACGCCTCCCAGTCTCTACAGCCCACCGTGGGGAGGTGATGAACTGCTACGAAGCCTTCATAGCCTTGCCACCTGTGCAGGGACGGGAGTTAACGCTCGGGACATGGGCTGGGCACCCCGCCTGGCATAGACCCAGCAAAGACAAGCTGTGGGGCTGGCATCCTCCATGTCCACACTGTGGTTTGGGGCCGGAGGATGCCCCTCGCTGGGGCTTCTTGCTCATCCCGTACAAAAACTGGGAATGCTCCTATCTACCTCCTCTGGGAAGAGGCCCCAGAGTTTATGGGCATCACTCCCACTCCGCCTTCCTTCCAGGAACTGCTGGGGTAAGCACGAGTGGGAAGATGGCTGGGAACAGCTACCCAGCCATGTCTTCCTGGTGGGCTGTCCTCTGCCCTCCCAGTGAGCGTGACCCGGGCCTGCGCAGGCACAGGGCCTGCCACAGCTCCATGGCAGCGAGCAGAGGTGCCCCACGTCCCCACTGCTGCTCCCGCGGGCACGTCTGCATTTCACCTCCCCACGCAGGGCCGGGCCTGCAGGAGAGCTCGCCCTGCCCAGGCCGTGCAGCAGTACCTGTAGATAATACTGTCAACAGAGAAGGTGAAGCCATCAAAGGAGTTTGCTACCACCAGAAAAGAGTCGTCTCCCACCGAGAAGAACTCCCAGTCCAGGGCGCTGCGGCATGAAGGAAGCACAGGATGAGGTGAGATGGTCCCTCCACAGCCAGGCTGAGGAAGGGGCTGCGTGCAGACACATCCGCCTTGCCCACAGGGTTGAGCCCAGCCTGCCCTGACGCCTGTTGGGCCCACTCTGCTCAAGGTGTTTAGCGTTTGGCCTCCTTCATCCTCCCTGAGCGGGACCCACTGGGAGAGAGGGATCTAAAGCCCCAGGCTGAGGGCTCCCAACATGCTAGTCCTTAGCCTGGGGCAGCAGAGTAGGTGCTTGCACGTGTTGTGCTTCACATGGTGCTCACATGAAGCGGGGTTGCTGGTGCAGACCAACAAGAATGCCACCACCACTCCAGTGAGAGGTGACAAGACCCCATTGCCCTCCCCACCAGCCTTATGCCCTCAATATACAACCTTGCAGGTAGCCCTGGGGCCCAGCAAAAGAACATGAGACAGTTTGGGGAACTCATAGGAGGGACATGGGGTGCCTCAGCTCTTCTTGCACAGGTACCTGTAGGTGAGGAGGTCCTGGAACTTGACAAACATCTGGGCAGTGACGTTCAGCTCATAGATGGAGGAGTTTATGGCATAGAAGTTGGAAGGCACCGATGTGCCGCTGTCGTAGCTGTGGCTGTTCGCCACAGCCAGGAAGACTCTGTCCCCGATGTGAAACACCTCCCAGTCAGCAGCCCCGAATGTCTGCAGGGATTGAAGCCACGTGAGAAGCTGGACGCAGACAAACCTTTGCAAGCCAAGCCCACTGGTAAGTGTGGCAGGAGGTGCAGGGAGAGGCTACCCGCTCTTAAAACTCTCTAGGGGAAAAGAAGTAAACCTTACTTGCTCACTCCCTAGGGAAGAATTCCTGGGAAAGTATCGCTGTCTTTGCAGACAACTTTCCCCGTAATTAGTCCCTGGCCTTACCTGAACCCCAGTGACATGGATTTAGAAGGGACACTGAGGAGCAGAGTTTGACTAGTTGTTAGTCCTTACCAGGATAGACTGGAAGAGCTGGAAAGAGCCACTGAGCCAGATATAGATGTGAGAGTAGATCTTGGTGGATGTGCCATTAAATGTGTTGGCCACGGCCAGGAAGGAATATGGCCCGATGGTGAAAAACTCCCAGTCATAGGCTCCAGAGGTAGGGATGGTCTGGTTGGTCTCAAACAACCCCGTCCTGGGGTTCCACCTGTATATCACACTGTCTATGTTGTGATTATTCCCTGGAGGAAGACAGAAAGACAAGCAAGACAATGAAAAGGAACGAATACTTAGCTCACATGAGAAATAAGACCCAGAAATGGGTGCAGCTATGCAAATACTTTGCACTTTGCAAAGCTGTTTGTTAGGGACAGATGCTCAAGGATCAGCCAAAGAGCCT